CGGTGTTCATGTCTGCGATTTTCAATCAAAATTGGTTAGAATGATTACATTGATAAATCGTTAAAAAATTTAGGACTAAATTGACATAATTAAAATGTTTAAAATTGAGTTTGTCACCATATAAAAAGTTTAGGATTTTTTAGACAACCGTCCCTTAACCTTTACCATGTAGATGCTCATGTGGTATGCTTTATTCGTTTCTCTTTATAAATAGAGACTGATAATATTGGAAATAGAAGTCCACTATAGTAGTCTTCTTTTGCCCTACCACGTTGATGCCTGAGGACCTCTCTTAGATTGGCTAGCAGACAGAAATAATACTAATGGAAAAAGAGAACTCATGCATGTTCATCTCTTTTTGAAACACATTTATTAATACAAGATTCGGTGCATGGTCATTATTAACATCTGACAAAGTTTTTTATTTGAGGGGACTCCTACTTGATGGCTCAAAAGGGGTCAACTCAAACTTCGAATCATTGTATTTATCGAATTTTTCGGACAGAAAATTTAAAGCCTGGACTTTTCAAGATTCTCCCGTGCTAAGGATATATATTCCGTCAGATATGCTTCTGTTGAAATCATGGTCGACGTTGTACCTCATTATTAAGATCTATTCCATAAGAAATTAGATGAATTATTTAATCCATAAGGTGTATATTTGTATAATAATCATATTCATAAATGCAAGAGCATCTTATAATTGGTCAAGGTGAGTTTGACTGTTAAACACTTGATATGGATAAAATTTACTATATTCAAATCACAGCATCTCCCACTTAGTTTGATCTTAAGAGCCACTCTAATCATCTTGTGAGTAGAGTTTTAATTGGCAACGTTGAGAAGATAATTTGTGTTTTTACGAGGACTAGTCAATTCAAAATTCTTGTTCTGACGAAAAGAAAATTAAATATGCTTGTATACACTTCTCGCTTTGTATACTCATTTGATCTTGGGATAATGATACAAACAGTCTCTGAACTTTTATTCAATGTGCAATTTGGTCATTGAATTTTTAATTTGTTCAATGTAGTCCCTGAACTTTAGTCTAATATTCAATGTGGTTCCTGAACTTTTGGTACATATTCAATTTAGTTCCTGAACTATATGAAAATGTACAATATAGTCCATGAACTTGAATTAATGAAAGGACTACATTGAACATTTTTATAAAGTTCAGGAACCATATTGAATATGTACCAAAAGTTCAGGAACCACATTGAACAAGTGTCATAAATTTTGTATGATGCAAACTTGAGTGCCATACTGCCATACTGCCATATAACTTTTCAATCGATTACTTGAGTGCCATAAATTTCTTAAAATGTTCACCACAAGTACCATACCACGTCAAATTCCCGACACTTGGATGAATTTTTTTAAAAAAGTTATGACACTTAAGTGATTAATTGAAAGTTATGGCACTTAAGTTGATTTTTTTTAGAAGTTATGGCACTTGAGTAGTCGAAAAAAAAAGTTATGCTATTCAAATGAGCGCCATACAAAGTTATGGCACTTGTGGTGTCATTATCCCAAAATAACTCAATATGGTTCCTAAAGAGTAGAAAATTACTTTTTTGTCCAAAAAGTTTTGGCCAAAAATTAAAATCACGCGGTGAGATTTCTATACGGTACATGGATATTTGCCCCCTATAATAGAAGGGACCTCCTAATTTAAAATCTTGTCCGTTCTATATATTATAATGCAACCTAATTTAAATTTATATTCCTCAAATGTCTAATGTGATGAAAGAATGTGGAATTCCGGTTGTAGCAGTCAATCCAATTGTGAAAAAAGAACAGATTACTCCATGGAATATTTGGCGGTGAAACTTTTCTGTTTCTTACACAAGTGACTTAAATTTTGATATGCCCGTCCATTTATATGTCAAATTATCTCTTATACGCACACATATCTGAAATTGAATATCGCTTATGTAAAGAAAATCTGCATCCCCGATGTAAACTACAAAGAACCAAATGAACAATGGTGTATTGTTGTTGCTTTATGTCGTAAGCCCATCTTTATTTGATGCTCATGGACAGTTTAATTTTATCTTATATATATTTTATGATTTTAGGGGCATAAATGCATAAATTCCACCATTTAGAGGCCCATGAAACACTCTACAAGTATCATGTACTGTATAGAATGAGAGGAAGTAAGATGTGGAAGGGGAGGCCAGATAGAGAAGAGGGAGGGGTGTAGTGGTCAGTGGCGGACTGATATAGAGGTGACGTACTGGCAGCACCAAGCTTAGACAATGGGGAAATCGGCTGAGTTCGGTGGACGTGACAGCTGTTGGTGGTGGGTGATGGAGGTTTGATGACGATATACGTGGAATTTGGAGGGTTTTGTTAGTATAACAGTCTTTAAATCACCATGAGAATAACAGCATATTGTGAATCATAAATTCTTGAAACAATGGACCCCATAACAATTTATAATTATTTGTTATGTTTTTTTTTGTGGTCCAGAATTAATCTCACATGGATTAATGACTATCACTTAATAATTTCTCATTTAAGGCTGCATGAGGAATTTCCAAAAAGAGGGTAGTTTGGTCTTTCCGTTTTTAGGTTTAGTTTGGATGTATTTTTGAAAATAGAGACATGTACGTGGTATATGAGAGAAAAGTGATGTATTTTTGCTATTTTTCCATTTATTAATTTGCAAATAGAGGGTAATGTGCATGCATGTGCAATAATGTTCTTGGCCGAAAGAACCAGAAGGGGGAAATGGCTAAGCTGATGCGAATATCTCGCACTCGTACGGCCACAGGTTCGTGCCCTGAACAAAGTGTTGAAAAAGTTTTTCTGGTAAATTTCTATTGAAAAGCTGCTCAACTTGAAAATTCTCAATATATATTACTGATTCAGTAAGATTGAAATGATATTGTGGAGAGTTGAATTGCGATAATATCATGAGAGTTTCCTCTCTTTAATAATTATAGATTGTTCTTCTTAATGATGGTGAGGGAAATCAGGATCGTCCTTACACCGATTACGACGAGTAAACCCCCCATGAGGTGCCGGTAGAGTCCCTCCCCTACACTGGGTAAGTCGAAATTGACTGCGTGCGGAGGATTTTGAACTCTGACACCCGGAGGTGGGATCGAAGGAGCACCTCCACACACGCCTCAATGCATATTGCAATTATATGATAAAGCAAGTGTGTTTCCTAGTAAGAGTTCAAATATCTCCACACAAACTTTTAAAAGATCACAAAAGAATTCGCCAAACTGAAAATGCAATACAAGTTTGATATAGTTCGTTAGTATTTGATGCAATTGTTAAGGAATTTTATGTTTCTTCATTCCTGATTTGAGGAATCGGGCCTCGTATTCGTGTGTTTGAAATATGGATTCAAACTTAACTAAACAATTATGAGTGATGCATAGTTACAATCTTTAACTAGAAAATTTCTCCAACTAAAAGATGGTGGAAAAATATACCCCTTATTTGACTATTTACAATCTTTACACATTTATTCCCTAGTTGACCCTAGAAGCCAGTTGGAACCGGACGGTTCTATTCTAGGCCGGGGCCGGCTTCAAGGTCACTAGCGTTGGTTCCCAGTTTCAAAAACAAGAGGTTTTAGGTTTGGAATTTAGTCTCCTTGAAACCGATAACCTTAGATCTAATGGAGCCAATTATAGTCCAAAACTATGTGGAAACCCTTGTTTTTGACGTAAGACCTTAGGTGAATCTCATTATTTCTTGACATATGAGGTAGTGGAGCTATTTCCATCTTCTATATGACTAAATTTGCTCATTTTTACTAGATAAACAAAATTGTATTTAATTGTTTCCATATTTGCACAGTTTTCTTCAATTTAGTTATTTTCCTATTATGGTTTTCCTTCGAATTTAAACTTATTGGGACTTAGGAAAAAAAACAAATCTCTTCTTTATTATTGCACTTATAACAACTTATCCGTTCTTCATCACTTCTACCTCAAAAGCTCACTTTCATGGTGAATTTGTTATCTTTTATTTATGTCATTTAAAAAAAAATCAAATCTCTTCATTTTCTATATCGGAAAAGTTGGTGTTTTTTCATAATATTAGTGAGACACATTTACACAAACGCATGTAAGACGTCATAGGTTTATGTAGAAGTACACTAAAAATATGACGTAGAAATGTTAAGCACATGCTCCTTGAGTTTTTTTCCTAAACGCACCTTGGATGATGTCAGTGTTTGTCAATCCAAAATCAATAAAATTTAATTGGCATTTTTTTGACATTTTATACAAAGTTTTGATTAAATTAATTTTCATCTTTTAAATTTTCATATCGGCGATTGCAATTGCGATTTTGTTTTGGAAAATATTTAAATTTTTTTTTTGTTTCATCCCATCATCCCATTATACATATATAAAAGGCAAGTGATAAAAAAGAGTTTGATAGTGATATACATAAGGAAAACAAAGATTATAAACATATAACTCTGTTAAAAAGTTGTTTATGTCAAAAAATTTCAGATTCTACTTGTCAATTAATCCATGAATTTACTTGACAGTGTGAAAGAGAACTAGGTTTGTTGGAAATTTCTCTCTTCATTTGTACAAAGAAATGCTATAAAAATGGAAAAAAAGGGCCCAAATTAATAGTACCTTTAATTACACAGTACCCACTTAAAAATGAGCAAAAGGAAAACATGCAATATTCTTAATCATGGAAACTAAATCCTACGTAAAATTAAAAGAACCAAAAAAAGGAGAATGTAATTAAATATGGGACTTACCATATTAAGTTTCACGTGGATAATGTTGTTTGGTCGAAATTAGATGTGAATGATTAAGGACCAAAAATGGTAGTCATATAGGAAATGTATATGCCCTGCCCATTTAATCATTTCTTAGTTGGAAACTACTAGGACTTAACCACAATATCCCTCTTTAGGCCCCATGCGTGGGTGGGACCAGTACTTCAAAAAAAGACTTGCTCTTTTCTTTCTCTCTTATATGCACCGCAGTATTTATATCTTACCTTGCTCCTCCTCTTCATCACCCCATTCTCTCACTTGACCCTTCTCAATTGAGCTTGTTAAGCCCCTCAGATTTGATGGCCGACATGGTGCCCGGTGGCTCTAGAAGAATGTGGTGTTCGGTGCCAGAGCGGCTCCAGCTGCACTTGGCCATGTTGGCCTTGCAATTCGGCTACGCCGGGTTCCATGTGGTGTCCAGAGCCGCCCTTAATATGGGCATCAGCAAGATCGTCTTCATCGTTTACAGGAACATCATCGCCTTGCTGCTCCTCCTCCCTTTTGCTTATTTTCTTGAAAAGTACGTGCTCGTGTCATTTAAAGGCCTCTCTTCTTGAATTTCCTCTCCTCCTTTCTTGTAATTCTCGTAAAAGCATTTCAACAAACACCCTTTTTCTCTATCAGTTCAGTTTTTTGGATGCGTTCATGACAAATCCCCCATTTTTACACCTTCTTTAAACGTACTTAGGACTCATTCACATGCTTATCGCATTTTGTTTGGTGTCCAGGAAAGAGAGGCCTGGGATCACTCTTAAATTCTTGGTGCAGTTCTTTCTCCTTGCCCTAGTCGGGTACGACCTTTTTCTTTTCTCTCCCAATTTTGTGATTGCTAGCAATTTTAACATTCTCAGTAGAGTTCTTTTTTCCTTTTCTTTTGGCATATAAAATTGCTGTCTATAGTTTATAAGGGACGATTTCATTTTATTTTTGTGTGGTCAATATATCGAAACAGGATAACGGCAAACCAAGGATTCTACTTCTTGGGTTTGGACAACACTTCACCCACCTTTGCTTCAGCAATCCAGAACTCTGTCCCAGCCATTACATTCCTCATGGCTGCCCTACTCAGGTGATCATCATTTAGCTTACATGTCCCGTACATGAAGTTCTTTCTGTGGAAGCCTGCTTAACTAACCGTTGGCTCAAAATTCTTCAATTCATTCCCTTTGTATGATATAATTTGCCTTCTATAGTCTCAAGGTTGGGAAAATCAACATATTAGGCAGACAGCTCACATTGTACATCTTAGAGGTTTTCTTTTAGGCCCTTTGGTGGATTACTTTTTGGTTGGAGAAAAATCATTGGTCGAATGAGACTGAAAAATTCTCTGGAGCAAGGAATTCCAACAGCTAATGGAAATGGATTCAGCCTGAATCCAAAACCGAAAAGAAATGAGAAGGAAAGAAAGAGAGTGAAAGGAAAGGGACCATGTCCTTCAAAAGGAACTACAAAAAGAATGTGAAAAAGAAGGGCAAAAGTACATAATTGTTGATAAAGCTTATAGGAAATAAAAATCTCGATTCTCATCAACATCATTTGAGTTCAATTGGCTTGATACTTACCATCCGGAATATCCATGAAATAAAGAAAAATCACATAGTTGACTTAGCTAACATTTTCTTTGGCAAAAAAACCAATGTGACGTTCAGAATAGAGCAAGTTCGGCTCGACCGGAAAGACGGCATCGCAAAGGTCGTCGGGACCATCTTCTGCGTCGCCGGAGCATCAGTCATCACCCTCTACAAGGGACCAGCCATATTCACTCCGGCGCCGCCTCTCCACGAACCCACAAAATACGCAAGCATGTTCCTCTCCTTGGGCAACGCGGAAGGCAAGAACTGGACCTTGGGCTGCATCTTCTTGATCGGACACTGCCTCTCCTGGTCTGGTTGGCTCGTGCTGCAGGCCCCAGTCCTCAAGAAATACCCAGCTCGGCTCTCGGTCACATCGTACACTTGCTTCTTCGGGCTCCTACAGTTCTTGATCATAGCTGCTTTCACGGAGAGAGACCCGCATGCGTGGCTCATTCACAGCGGTGGAGAGCTCTTCAGTGTCTTCTACGCGGTGAGTTGATACATGGATGCATGATTTTGGGGCAACATATCATGGCTTACAGGAAATTTCCTTTTAGAAACAATTTCTTCCTTTTTTGAGCACATCTGCAATCCCAATGACTTTGAGCAACCTCAGCATTTGTTTAGTAGGTTGGCAGTTCATTTTGAATAGTTTGGAGAAAGCATATGAGGAAATGCAATTATAATTCAAAAGCCAAGATGAACTAATTTTGTTAGTGACAAAACAATTTTTCTTGCTCATACTGAAAAGTACTTGGTGATAGTTTTGTGTTGCGCATTTCCCAGCTTATACAAGGCAGATCTAAATTTCTTTGTCAACCACTAGTATAGAAACCGTCCCCCACCACCCCCCCTTCGCCCCCCTTCCCAAAAAAAAAAAAACCACTGGTTCATACACAGTTATTCAACAAAATTTAAACGAAAATTATGTATGTTACCATGCGTCCTATTTACGCACTCCATTAATTTGTAGTAGGGTCCACAGTATATCCTACGAAATTGCGAGTTCAATGACGAAAAATCATCTTCAAGCTTTGAAATTACATGCACTGACATGATCAAGTTTTTCTTGACGAAAAATAAAAAAATGTGCAGGGAGTGGTGGCATCAGGGATAGCTTTCGCAGTGCAGATATGGTGCATTGACAAAGGCGGGCCAGTGTTCGTCGCCGTGTACCAACCTGTGCAGACGCTCGTTGTCGCGATCATGGCCTCAGTCGCTTTAGGGGAGGAGTTCTACTTGGGAGGGTATTAATTAGTCTCTCCCTCTCCCATCCATCTTTCTTCTCAATCATGCACCGCTGGGGCCAGCAGGCGCCATCATCTTTAATCCTAGGATCGAAAGATCCATGTTTTGCTCATCGAAACTTAGTATTAACTTTCCCAAACCAACTTCGGAGGACAATCGCCCAACGAGTGTTAGATAGGACCAACACTGTTTAGTGACTCCCCCTCAAGTTATAAACATGAAGATATGATCATCCTATAACTATTTACGTGTCTCGAAACATGTTCAATGGCGAAGTTCTGAGAATCTAAGGTTCTTTTTGGCTATGGAAGGAAGAAAGTACACTAACTTGTTAGTTCTGGCTTCCGCAGGATTATCGGTGCGGTGCTTATCATAGCAGGTCTCTACCTGGTCCTGTGGGGTAAAAGCGCAGAGAGCAAATTCGCAAAGCAAAAGGTGGCGATCCAGTCCACTCAGGACCACGGGAACAACAGGACTGCCTGCCACATCACGCCGTCCCTCGCTCAGCCACTGCTCGCACCGACGTCCGATGATGTTTGACCGGCGAGCATCTTTGACTTTTGAGTTGGATGAAAGGAAATGTGGGCCCATCTGTCAGGGATCGGGATTTCATTTTTTTTTATTTCATTTTCTTTTTGGGTTTGTTTATGTTCTGAACTAAATTACAATCCCTTCTTAGGCCTGAAAAGGAGCGATTTTGAGGGGATGAAAGTATGATGATTAAGGTCATTTAGCGTGGGAGACATGTTGCCATCTGCCCGTATGCTTTTACATGTTTTAATTATACATGGGTTTTGATTAAATAAAAGGGATTATCTGCGATAATTGTGGACATTATGATGTTCATTCATGTGAGCCTAGAATTTCATTATGCTGGCTGCTGTTCATTTTACTGAAGTTGAGAATATGTAGACTGACATTTTCTTTTTGAGAATTTTCTCCTTTTTTGTTGGGAGGTGTGGTTATCATTAGATGTTCTTCGAATTTGTTCTTATAATCTGATTCAATGTGTGACTATGAAATTATATATAGTTAGTTAAAGTAGAATCAATTCGATATGCAATATGATATGTCACATTGAACATAAAGCGGCGTAAATCTTATTTCGTGGACAATCGTTCGAACTATGTACATTGTGCAAAGGGAACACCCAAAATGCCATATTTGCTCCGTAAGGGTTGGAACTTCAAATTGTTTCTTAAAATTTTTAAAAAAATTTAATCAGCTAATTTTGGGGTTGAGTGAAAAACAATCTTTCACAAAAAAAAATGGGTCATGCTCGTGAAAAACGAGTCTTTTAACACCTATATAACTAGACCTGTCATTCGGTAAAATAAAAAAAAATCTGTCAAATGAGTGAATCGAGTCGAGTCATAAATAGTCCAACCCAAATTGACCCATTTAACCCGTTTATGCCCCATTTAATGTAATGCAAATTTCACGACCCATACCCGACTCAATCCATACCCAATCCGACCCATATTACTAAAACACTTTTATATTTAACCAAATATTGAAAAACTTGTTTCATATGATTTTTTTAAAAAAATTGTATTATTAAAACACTTTTTGACAATTTTTATAATTTTTTACTGATTTTTTGAATTTTATTTTTTGTTTTCTATATATATTTCTTATTTTTCTTCTAAATCCGTTCAGGGCCATTGAGACCGGCGACAGTGACTGGCAGTTTAAGTTTTATTTTTTCTGTTTGTCCTATTCTAATTCTCAACTCACTTTTTAGACTTTTGTCATGCTTCTTTGCAGAGTGTAGGAGTCGAAACTCACACCTGAAACTAAACGTCCCCATCTCTAACCCTTTGAGAAAGTAGAGAATCAAACTTCCCACCTCCCCCTTCCCAAATAGGAAGGGTGGCCAATGGGGCAAACCCTAGTGGTTGGCAGTTCAAGTTAATAAATTATATTTGTACAAAAAAGAATTAATAAGTTAAATTGGTCCTAAACCCATTTTAAAATTTTAAGTAACTCATATTCAACCTAGGACCATTAAATCTGAGTTAAAAAATGAGTTTGTTACCCATATTACCACCTCTTACATAATTACCCAAATCCAACGATTGGCTTTCAATCATTCGAGACCAATCACCTAATTTTCGTAGCATCAAGAAGTTTGTAATGTTCTGATTTCGAAAACACATCATGAAACTAGAAGTCTCGAGTGTTTCAATGCAAGAAAATTTTGGTTGATTGCACATTGTACGAGGAAGTTATTCGCCTGTCTAATGTCGGTCAAACTTTCCTAATACTTTGAACAAGGTCCAGCTACCCAAAACCACATTTAGAGATGATCGAATCAAGAAATCTTTCAAATCTCCTTGTTATGATACATAATGTTCTTTCATAGTTTTAATTCGCCGTGTCGAAACTTGATTCATAGACTCGAGCATATAGTTTTTAAGATTAGAAAGGCATGCCTTGAAGCCTTTGAAGAGTTTTCGGCAACATAGGGACAAAGCTCCGAGGTCTCCAAGGGATGAACTTTGTTCCTGCGCATCCTACTGCGATTTTTTCGTCGTTCTAATGTGACGTTCTAGGCCATTATGCCCTTGAAATAAATTGTTTGCACCAAAAATGAGCAAGTCGTCGACGTGGATATGCATGTGATTAGAGCATAAATACCATTGAGCATATGACCCACTATCAACGACTACAGGTAGGGGTGTTTTCGACCTGACCCAACCCGAACCGGCTGTGACTCAAAAATTTAGGTTAGTTTTGGTTCGGGTCTCATTCCGGTTCGGTTAGTGAGAGAAAAAATGACACCTCAACAATTTGGGTTAGGTCAGGTATGTTCGGATACTCATAATGACTTGAAATATATTAAATATCAACATGAAAGAAACCCTAAAAGCTCCCCTAGCTCCCTCAACCCCTAGCTCCATCTCCTTTCTCGTCCTCTCCGACTTCAACATTTAGATGTTCCTCAACAAGCTCTCCTTCGCCGTTGCCACCTACACCTTCCTCCGAACCCACCACTGCCGCCACTTGTCGCTGCTTCCCCAAGTTCTCCTGCGACTCTGGCCGCCGCGAGTTCCTCCCCCTCGACGAGAAAGAACAAGTGCCTCTGGTCCTCCCACGCCTTCTGTGGCCAAGTTCTCTCCCAACGGCACTTATTCGACTCGATTTGCGATCTGGGCCTCCACCGCAACCACTCCAAGGTCCACTGAGTCTCCGCCGGAGCCGGCCATGAAGTCATGGCACTATCCAAGCCGGGAGTCGCCGACGTCTCTGAGGTCGAATTGATCGACTCGCCCCCTCTGGTAAGCTACGTTGATCCGCACAATTTGCCCTTCTTCGATGGTGTTTTCAATTTGGCGCTTAGTGGCATTTGGAGGAGGCTCAGTTCATATCGCGGGTCACGGTGGAGATGGAGAGGATGGTGAGGGTCGAGCAGGGCTTGTGTGGTGGTCAATGAGGAGTGTGGTGACGCGGAGGTGGAGGAGATTGTGGCTAATTAAGTAAAGGGAGTAAAGTTGCTTCCTGATCATTTTGTTGTGCTTATGCTTCTTCATCTCCCTCACTTGTTGAATGCAACTGAAGTTTGATTGAACTGCTAATGTTTCGTTTTTATAATTTTTTGTGAGCCTGGGAAAGAGAGGAGAGGTGAAGAGACGATTAGGGAAAAAAGATACCCGAAACCCAACCCGATATTTTGGGTTATATACCGTTTGGGCCTCGGGTTGGTTTGGGTTGGGTCAAGCACATTCCTATAGTGTTTCAGGTCGGGTCGGATATCTTGGAAACCCAACCCACCCATTGACACCCCTAACTGTAGGAATCGTTGTCGTACACTGATGACCATTGTTGATTAGTTGTCGATATACAATGATGAATGGTTAACAATAGTAAACAAGAATAACAAGGGCAACATATCACCGGTTAAAGCATTAAGAGAGAGAGAGAGTTGTATGCATGAAGGGCATCGAAGAGCAATTACGGATCTTAAATCACTGGAGAATCAAGTAGCGGAGGTCGTAGAGCAATTAGAATGCGATTTTTAAGGAATAACCACTTGAAAGTTGGATCGTGGCATCATGACAATATGGATACAAAACTTTCGATGATGAAGGAACATGGCTACAACCACTAGAGAAATGCTCAAAGACGGTTACGACATAATCCTATAAATACCACCAATCATCTACTGGAGAACACCCCCCCTCCGGACACAACTCAAACAAAAATGCATTCTTTTAATTATTTTTACTTTCTTGCACTGTACTTTTAGTTTCCGTACTTGTGTCGTCGAGTAAATTCCAGCATATTTCTTAGCTGTAATTTCTAGATCCGTGTCATCGATTAAATTCCGGCGTGTATTTCTATTCTAGGTGTTGTGTCGTTGATTTAAATTTCAGTGTAACATCTTTGCGTTTTCAAACTTTATCATCAATTAATTTTGGCATGGTTTATAATTGTATAGTCCTGTTTGAAGTAAAGTTGTCAGTTCCCTTATTTATATATGATATCTCCTATCCAAGTCGCCATAAAACCTGTCTCCTTTAATTAAAAATCGAAGAATGACTTTCGATGAAAGATATTTCGTCGCAAGATAAATTCCGACGAAACGTTGTCGCGACCTACCTCACGAGTGCCAAACTCGATAAAGCGGGTTTAGAGGTAAGTGTTCATGAATGGTCCATACAGCACATCATAAAAGATGGCTTACCGAAGTGTCAATCTTTTAGTCATCTGTATGGTCCATTAATCATGAACGTAGATTTTCCCTAATCCATACCTCGCATGACAACGGATCAATTTTATCTTTTTTAGGAGTCGCCACTAGCCTAGGTCGGGGGTCGGTTAGAATACCCAACCAATACGCGGGAATTTCGTATTGGTTTCTAAGAGAACCAAAGATTATGGATTTTGGGACTAGCTTACGTTAATATTTCTATTAACGCAATTTCGGTACCGCTAAACTTATCATGGTTATTATTTAAGTTGTCATGCATTTATTTTTACCATTTTCATGCCAAAACTTTAGTCCAATAAGTGATCATGCATCTTTTTTTTTTGTTTTCATTTAAGATTCTAAATTAATTCTATCTTAGTCTAGAAAAGAAAGAAACAAACAATTGTATTGAAAAGCATTGCGTAAAGTAAACAACCAAGGTATTGAAAGAACTAGCTAATTCTAAGTGCAAGAAAGAAAAACCCGCAACTCATCGGGTGTTTATACAACACGAATAAGAAACCCGAGACATATGTCGGGTAATAAATTAATTTTTACAAGAAAATAGATCGAAATGGACATCGACCATCACCGTATACAAAGAATAGAGTCGAAATGGACATTGACCTTCGCCATCTTCAAGACCGTTGTCTTCTTGAACCTATTATAACCCTAATCTAAAACTAAAACTAAAGAAAAAACAACAAACAATATACAATCACAAAGTACACAGCATCACAAGTCAATCAAAGATAACAAACAAGTCACAAAGAATTTCAAAGATGGCCTCAAGGTCGGCCTTTGCTCAAACTTGAATCGATACCTCTTCTTATTTACCCATGTTCATTTTAGACACAATTCATGTTTATTAACTACCATTGGTGTTCACCAACAGCAATTAATGCCGTGAATCCTTAAGTCAGGTTCTTTGTGTAATCCAAATTTAGACCCACAATCATGCACCGTCCCTAGGCATATATCTAAAAATCACATGCAAAGCAATGAATTAAACATGCAGGCGGGTCGAAAGACCTTGATTCTCATCCAATCACTCAAATTAGTGAACCGACATTAGGTCACTTCATTCAATTCATCACACGCCAATCACAAGCACATGCACTAGAAAATCAATTATTATT